GCTTAAAAACTAGCACCAAAAAATAAATAAACGAGTCACGGATCTCTGCCAACATACTTTGTAATCGTCGATTGCAATCAAGGAATCTGGCGGCCGTCATGTTCTCGCTCATGTGAGCAAGCGCGTGCAAGTGCAAGCCCGCCAAAGCTGCCTTCACAATAATGCCGCACGTGTTTTTACGCATGGAACATTAGTCGGAAACCTGTGTTTGCAAACATTTATAGCGTTTCAGAAACAAAAATGTTAGCATCAATAAAGTCAGCAATGAAAAAAAAGGAAGCAGCGTCATAAATTAGCCTTAATAAATGAATGAGGATCTCTATTATTCGTTTATTTTGCTCCCATAGGATTGCGACTTGAATTCGCATCTGTAGCATGGAACTCAATATGTGGAACGCAGTCAGCGAAAAGTTAAACTGTGCAAAAGCGTTTCGACCGTATTGTTTTTGAACGCTATTTTCAACGTCATTTTATTTTGATTATTACTTTCTCCTTAATAAGATTTTTCTGAGCCAATTTTCTGAAAGAAGTGCCGAGCGTGACTTAAATTTTCTACAGAAGGAAGTAAAGGGTATGGTAGATAACGATATGCTTTTATCCAGAGTTAACATTCATGTCCTTTCTCTGTTAACTAGGAATCACACTGTTTTTTAGGTCAATAACATGTGTAGATCATCGCCCCTGTCACGTATACAATCGTTGTATAATCGCCTTAAATATACAAATATTGATATATTCAGTAATATATCTGTTTACCGCAAGCAATTGGAAGTGCTTTCAACACACCTTTGACCTGCGCTTTGCTTTTATTTCGTTACTTTTGTTCTGTTCGACTTTAGCATTGACTTGTGCGCCAAAGTGAAGACCTCTGGGCTGTTTTGGGGCACATAAAATTAGATTAATATTATTATTATATTATAAGGCAAGGTAAGATAAATTGCTTTGCCCAATGGCCTGGGACTAGCGCTTTATGTTGATGAACATGGCACGAGACTTAAATGGTACTGGTCATAATTTGATTGCGCTAGATTGGTTTGAGCTCATTTAAAGATGATGGGAACCTCATGGTGACGTAAATAATCATATATTGCATCTCTCATTACACATTTCGAACTAAACATTTTAAATAAAAAACGCAAAAAGGTTTCTCTCATAGCAACCACCACGTTTCGATTCGGGACTTGTCAATGAGCCCGCCATAATTAAAGTTGTGTCTGATTCTTCATTCAGAACTGAGCATTATAAATACTGAAGCGCAATAGACGAGACACAAGAACAAGAAGAACACAGGAGAAGCGCTTATCCTGTGTTCTTGCCGTTCTTGTGCGTCGTCCTTGGCGCTTCAGTTTTTATAGTGTTTAACCAAATAGCCCCACAGTTAATTTTATTTCAGAACTTAACATTTCGCGAATTAAGTCATGATTTGTTTCCCTAATATTGCTCTTTCTTCCGAGTTGCTTATGTGATTTTTGCAAGACTGCTTCACTAAAATCAATGGCTGCAATCAATAAGACCACTGAGCGTCTGGGAAGATTTAATATGTCGTTCCCCATTAACACTCTCGTCACTCGTCTGGCACTTTGCTATTATTAGATTTTCCTGTAGCAGCGTCACTGAAACACACTACGGTAATTCAAGCGGACTGGCTGAACTGTCCTCACTGATTTCCTTTCTGTTTTATCAATACCGCTGTGAAATCCCTCTTTTCCAGCAATTTCGTTTTATTTTCTTCTTTACAACACATAATTTTTTCGACGGTAAAAAAAACACAAAAACAATCGATTATCCAAAAAAAAATATTTTGTTTTGCCTTATATTAAACTAATGTCTGAAATCTGGGTATTTGTGCAGTCCCCGTCAGTTATTGCTCTCGTTTAGAGTTAGACTCCGATTACGGTTCTAGCTCAAGGCTGTACCGGGAATGGAAAGTAAGGCTTCCAACCATAAATATTAGTACCTTAGAAGTGTCTGATCTCTAACTGCACCACAAACACTTCGATATTTATCTGAATTAAACAGTTATTTATCGTTAAGCTACACACCTTGATGAATAGCTTGAAGGCTATTAAAAACTTTTGACTAATTTCCTTAAACTACTCAAACTACTGGCCTAAAAAAACTGGGAATTCACAACACAACGACGCCAAATTAACCTGCAGTATTTTTAGTCACCACTCAAACATTTTTTTTTTATTTGGCTCAAGCTTGACATTAAATAGTGCTTCTGTGATAAGGCAATCTAAGATTGAGGCATGAAATTTATTTTTAGTATCAAAACAATTGTGTTGGTTATTTAAGGATGAAAAAAAAAACAGCCCTTCTAATCGATGATTTTTTTTTCAGATTTCCTCAGATTTAGCCTTTATTAAGAGTGAATAAAACCAAACGAAATACAATGAAATTTCTTAAAAAAGGGTGCAATATTTAATTAAAGTTCGAATTTAGACAAAATTATTTATGCCTTACAAGGCCAATGCATGTTCATGACTGTGCTCTATTTAAGTTAAAAAACCCTTTGCTATAAAACTTTACCGTTTATGTAAAGTCGGGGACAAAAGTCCCCAGGACGCGCGAGCTGCGGCTGAAACGCATTGCTCTGCCATCTGCCGGCGGGTCGCCTGATTTCGAGATCACACAAAAGTGCATGCGCGTCCTACTGTGCCTGCAAGCATGTTTGTTTTTCCGCTTTTCTGCGGCGCGGCGCCTAACTCGGAATCGGGCACGTGGTACCGGCTCGAAGATAGCGCTTGCGGCTGACGAGCCTCTGCTACACATTCCGAAACTGGAGATACCGCCTGCGGCATTGCGCCGCTTTCGCCGTGCCAGCGCATCTTGCTTAGTAACCAGCTGAACTTATCGCTCAGTTGAGCTGCCGTGACTCCTTGCTTCATAGGTGCCATGTCAGTAAGCGCTATCTCCGAGGCGGTACCACGCGCCCGATTCCAAGTTAGGCGCCGCGACGCAGAAAAGCGGGAAAACACACATGCTTGCAGGCACAGTAGGACGCGCATGCGCTTTTGTGTGATCTCGAAACCAGGCGACCCGCCGGCAGATGGCAGAGAGATGCCTTTCAGTCGCAGCTCGTGCGTCCTGGGGACTTCTGTCCCTGGCTGTATGCATATGCGGCTGCAGATACGTATTAGGTATAAAAAAGCGCCAAGGTGCAGTTACTCGAAGTTTCCGGTTTCCTTCACCAACAAATCATGCCGGTACTGCATCCGTCCTAGGATCACATGAATCTAATAACCAAATGAGATTTAAGGAATAGTTAGCAACATCCTATTCGTCAACTGGAATATTAAACAAAAGCTGTCAGCAAGAAAAAAAAGAGTGCCGTCTATCTTGCCGACACGATTTCCTTTCTTCTGGAATAACATTTAAATGGTACCAACATTGACATTTCTTGCTTTAGCAGTATTAGGTTTAGGTGAACGTCGCCTCAAGGAGGCATTTCGTCGCTTTTTAACCTTCCAATCGTGGTTCCGTCATATTATGAAATTTCCGCATTCTATCTCCACCGCCAGGCGCGGATGCTGGAGGGTGAGAGAGACTCTGCAAAGAGATGACATCACGGTCGTAACGCTGCCCAGATCTGTTTTGTTGAACTATTTTTTGGTGTGTTATCAAAAACTTATTTTTAAGAAAAGCTGGTGTATGTCGATATTTATTAAAAATTTTCTGTAGAAACCCCTATGGTTGTTTGTCTACAAATTGCGATAGCATACGTCTAGAACAACACTTAGGACGGCGTCTGTGACAACGATTAGGACGACGTCCTAGGGGACAATATCAAAGATGTCGTCGAGGACGACCTCTAGGACGTCCTCGAGAACGACGTCTAGGGAAACGTCGAGGATGACGTGTGGAACGACCTCGAGGGCGACCTTAAGGACGACCTCTAGTACCACCTCCAGGACGACCTCCAGAGCGATCTCAAGGACGACCTCAAGAACGACGTCGAGGACGACTTCATGGACAACGTCCAGGACGACGTTCTAGAGGATGACGTCAAAAATAATGTCTAGGACGACCTCAAGAACGACCTCTAGGTCGACGTCGAGGACGAAGTCAAGGTCTTCAGGTCCTTCAAAGAGGGGGAGGATGTGAATGAGTGTTACAATATAAGCTGAAATTGTCTGAACAGGTGTGCGCATACCCACTGCGCATACCTACTGCGCATTAGGAGTACAGAAGGGCCTTTTAATGGGGGGTATGCTATCGAATTATAAGTTTACCTTCGGGCACAGGAGAAAAACAATGGGCACTGCACCAGATATTTTCCAAAGCGGACAGCATTGTTAGGGTGGATTAAAGAAAGAGTGGGCGTGAAAATAGCTCGCTCGGTGGCGCTCCTAGCATACGAAAGTGGTCGCATTGACACTTTCACCATGGTACCACCTAAACGCTGACAACAGCTCGACAACCGTACCCCAAGCTGCATCTGTGATGACCAGCTACTCTTTCTCCTTTGCCCTCGCCCGCGCACGCTCACCCGCTCTTGCGCTCGGTGTGCTGGCTTAGCTCGGTGAAGGGAGGGTGTGCAACGCCTCTGTTCAGTCCCTAAATGTGTGAAGTTGCACTATTTCCCCCACATTCATTACGCTCTGCTCTGTTGTTATTCTAGCACACCACAACATTGTTTCGATTATTTACTCAGGACAAGCAAGCCAAGTTCGTATGTTAATTGTGCATAACGTACGAATGGTTAATTTTAGTGGGGTGTGGCATCGACCTCCTGATAAAACAATTGTGGTTCGGATATAAACTGACTCTTTATTAAAACTATCATGCGTGTTTTATAGCAGGCCACGATGCACCAAATTTACCGGATAATTTACCCGCCAAATTTACCGGATAATTGCTTGTTAAAAGTTTTTACGTAACACTTTTTCGACACGCTGGCGAGTATCTAATGATCCCTACATGATATTCTACCTTATAGCTGCCTTTATATTAGCTTAGCAAGTTCCACGAAGAATAGCAAGAGCTGCAATTCGTACCTCGGGAACATGTCCGTTCCTTGTTGCAGTAGCGATGCCAATACGAACCAAAAGCTGTTGATCAACGTGAACCTGTTCTTGAGATGTCCCTTCCCGGCCAGCTTGCGGCACGACGGCCCCGCTCTCCTCTTGCACACCCACTCAGCCGAGCTGAGCCTCGAAAGAAAGGAGAAGAGCAGCGAGGTTGCCAGGACCGCCGTCAAGACGTACAGCCACAGTTCCGACGTCCATGGGCGCAGGAAGTGTGGGATCTCTTCGAACTGCCTGTCCACATTACGGTACAGGATCCCGATTCCGTTCTGCATGAAGGGCGCCGTGAAGTCTACGTATTCGAGTCGTTCTCGGGTGATGCTGATATCCCCAACCCCCAGGTCTGCTTCCTGAAATTTGGGAAAGTGCGAAATATATTACATAAATGTGCGCTCACGGCTCGTCGTATTAAAAAAAAAATAATAACAATTATCTAGAACATGCTTGATTACACGCGTTCTTGTATCTATCTTCACAGTGAGAAACGATGGAGCACAATAGTTATACGATGAGTCATATCTCAAAATGATGATAATTATTTGCTTTTATTTGTACAATAAGCGACAATATAAGCTGACCCAGTTAAGTCTCCAATTCACCTGACCACAGGCCACAGAGGACGCCAGCGGAGACACTCAAGTCGACTGCAGTCACTGTTTGTGTCCCTTGACACCTGAGAGGGGCGCTGCGACGCGCGCGAGACGGATAGCGACATTAAACGTTCACGGCAGTGGATTGGCTCTGGTGGACTGTAGTGTCCCCTGCGGTCCATCATATGGTGAAACAGAGCAAAGAAAGAAAGTGTCGTATGCGGTGCCTCCGGAATGCTAAGCAATGAAACCGACTAACCTTCTGCGACAACAGAAAATATAACTGTGCATTGAAATTTTTATTTTACCAGAATAACGTGCTCGTTATGTCCCGCAACGCTTTTTTTTTCCACCCAGGCATTAGTCCCTTTGGGTCAGCTGACATTGCCCCAACCTGTACTCTTTTTGACAAAGTAAACTGTACTTAGGGAACACTAAAACTCAGCCCAAGCTACCACTTACATCATTTGCAATTTTACAAACTAGGATCAGCACTCAGTATTACTCAGTTAATATACATTTATCCTGCTTAACGGAGTATGCATTTTACTCAATGTCCTAGAGAAAAAGAAGTGTTACACGTCTTAAAGCACAACAGTGAGCGCACGTATATGCACACTTGGCCACAAACGTTTAAAGACCATGCGAGCCGTGGACGAGCTGCATCACTGCGCTGCCTTGCGGTGCGTCACCTATTGTCGAGACCCGTAATGTGCCCATGCGCGTCCTTTGATACTTGTAGGCATTTCAACTCTCCCGCGTCCGGCCGACGCGTTTTTATTCTTACGAATACGGCGCCGGGCGACGACTTGGTAGCTCGACTCGCGTGGAGCGAAAAGCTCGCGCTGCAGAATCCAAGGATCCTAGGTTCGAACCCCACCCCTGCCCGTTTCGATCTGGATGAGCATCGTAACTGCGTGCGGTCGTGCATCACTACTGCGTGAGCATGCTAAAAACCCCAGGTTAGCAGTCATACTGCATTGGAAAAAATTGCTCGTCTACAGTGTAAACCAGGGTCGCCCCATCCTGGCAGACCGACCATACGCTTTATCAACGCTAAACGTCCACTTTGACTTTTTTTGTGAATTAATTATAAACTCCACAGTTTTCCTCAGAGTTGTTTCACGTTTTACAGGGCATCAAAGTAGCTCAGGCTACGTCGTATAAAATGATCTACACCGGTTTCTTAAAATGTCGCGCCATACCTTGTTCTTTTAATTTTATCGACTTGTCATTTTGTTTTTGTTTCAAAAATACTGTATCTTTTGAATGCGTCGAAGGTCACAAAATCCAAATTTTAACGGATAATTTATTTTCTTCTGGAACGGGGGTTCTTAAGAACGAAAATGAAACGTAATGGGTGGAACGTGACAGATAGAGCGTCGCGAATGATGTACCACGTGACCAGGCCAAAACGTCACGCAACTGCTAAGTACAACAGTCACGAGACTACGCGATTTTTTACTGGGCCATGGGACATCGTGGCAGACCACGCAACGTCCCCCGTCTTGAGAGTATTGTACACTCTTCAGCGAGTGTCGGCATAGATAAATTATTCTTCCACTGCACTTCGCCAAGGGACGAATGATTTATTTTATGGGAAGGAAAGTAAACGGGTATTCTGGGTCATTTTGAGTAATGCAGTGCAACGGGATGAATACAAAAAAAGACAATACACAGAACTGACTAGCAAATGAAGGTTTCTGTTGCCCACAGCTTGTGTAGAAGCATATGAGCGAATCCAATTAAGCAGAGTGCGGGAAACTTTGCGATCTGCCTATTTGGATTTAGCACCTATGTTTATACTATACGGAGTGTGAAAAAATAAACTATCATTTGATAATTAGCGCTATGTATTGTATTGTCCTTGATTCGTCGGTGTCCCGTTGCGCTATATTATCAACAAATGTTCTTCAACCAACTAGCCAAGGAAGACCTTATAACGAGTATTATGGAAGGATGTGTTGGTTGCTTACCTAAACCAGAGGACGAGATAAACAACCAATAATATATATATATATATATATATATATATAGGTGAGGCAGAGTAGCTTGAGAACAATGGACCGGGAAAATGTAATAAGTCAGAGATCCGTACTTGCGGAGTTGCTATACTATGAGTTTATTGCATGTATTTCGACAGTTTCGCCGAGAGGCTCGGCTTCGTCAGGAGATGGCATACATGTGAGGGCATCAGACTGTGCAAAGCAGTAAGGGGCCAATGGGGCGAGGAGGACGTGACGTCACGAAAAATAAAAGTAAAAAAACATATTAAAAAAAAAAAGGTTGTATTTGAGCGCGTTCCCACGTTGCTCAAATACAACCTTTTTTTTTAATATGTTTTTTACTTTTATTTTTCGTGACGTCACGTCCTCCTCGCCCCATTGGCCCCTTACTGCTTTGCACAGTCTGATGCCCTCACATGTATGCCATCTCCTGACGAAGCCGAGCCTCTCGGCGAAACTGTCGAAATACATGCAATAAACTCATAGCATAGCAACTCCGCAAGTACGGATCTCTGACTTATATATATATATATATATATATATATATCTATAATGGGCTCTTCGTTCACAATATATATATATATATATACAAAGAATGTTAAACTGAAGATACCCAGTTGGTGGATTGATGGTTGGAATATGTTAAGCACTGGTGCCGTGTCGCACTTATCGCCCGTGTCTTGAAGTCAGATAGTGTTTTGACGTCTGGCACTCCAGTCTTAGTGCCCCTCCCGTTGGTGTTGTTCTTACAGATGCTTTTAATTACTTAAAGCTCCTACCTGGGTATCTGATTTTACTTTGTGGTGTTTAGAGGTGTGGGAATGGTACTTTGAATTGAATAGCACTGGATCTCTCATAGCTTTCACTGCAGAAAAGAAAACCAAAGTATACTGGATCGCTGCACTGTTCAAGCTGGGGACAAGTTTGCGCTATTCCAGTTGAATTATATGTGCACACCCCAAGTGTAATGATATTCTAGTCACCACAATTATACAGACGGCATCTACAGAGCGTATAGAAATAGTTGCTAAATAAACACGTTTCCTTCTGTCATGGAAGTCGGTATTTTGTCAAGCCTGAAGGAACGACAATGAATGAAATAACCTGCCTGAAGAAATATTAAATTAATTATAATGTAATACTTCCAATTGTTTAATGGAAACTAACTATGCAACTTTGCGACCATATGTTATGTTGATCAGGTTTATCATAAAATGACATCTAAATATAGGCCAGGCTTGATTATATTTTTTTTGTGTGTGAACTGGAGAGAAACGTCATTATAATTTGTAGAGCGGAGCCAGAATTTAAACATTTTCCAGCTCTAGTGGAAAGGTGCTTTCAGGATGCGCATACGTTTTCTTTAACTTTGTGTAGTTTTATAGTAAGTGTAGAAGGCTTCTTCTCGTGATATGGCTGATTTGACCGAAAAAGAATTAATCTTCAAATTTGACATGATACAAATCGAATTAATCCTTCATTTGTTTCTACCAATAACCCGCTTCTAGTTCATGAGTTGAAAGAAGAGCGGAAGCATTTAATGACGGGTGAAGAAGACGCATTTTGGAACATTTGTACGCACTACATTTCTTTATGCGATGGAGTTATTAAGACAAGGGTAGAACGTCTTTTGTTCCACTGAACCTTTAGGTGTACTTCAACGAAGCTCATAAAAGCCCGTTAATTGCCCGGAGTTCCAAAGTACGTGATTTCTTTCAGTAATAGAATTGCCCTTCAATAATTTTTGTTTAGCCAGTAATCTTGTCAAACGTGGTCTTCAAACTTTTTATTTTCTTGTCATTTCATTCTCATTAGGCAAATTTTGTGGTCTTGGTACCTAACCGAGCGAAACTAAAGAGATAAACACTTTTAATACTATTTTGATGAATGTTCGGATATCTCTATCTCCGGAAAAAAGGAGGCCTATTGTGTTAACGCACCCAAGCTCGGAGAATGAAGAGTGAAAGTTCGGCCTGTAGAAACCACAGATTGTTAATTAAATCAGCATGTTGCATACTCGCACGGAAAATGAAGAAGATGAGATGGTTTCTCCTGGAATACATGAGGACTGGTGTCCTGTAGAGGCTGAACTAACATGAAAGAAACAAAAGCGCAATTATAGAACTCGACCGTTGACGACTGGGAAAAAAACAAGGAAGAAGACAGAAAGCGAGTGACGAAAGAGGACCGACGGACGAAAGACAAGTATTTGAGTGTTTCGTGTAATTACGTAAATACATCCTTGCTATTTGTCAAGTGTTTCAATGCAAACCAATCGCCTTCCGCAACACCCCATTCCTGCACTTTTCGATCTGGCTCAGCATTGCACCGGTGTGCGGCCGTACTTCGTGCTGCACATCAGAAAACCAAGGCTAGAAGTGGTATGGCACTGGCTAAATTTATCCTCTACAGAGGAGACACTACACAAATATTAGTGCGAACTTCCTGCTGAATTGACATACACACAACAAATTATCTTTTATGCTCAAATCGAGCGGGCCGTTTGGGGGGTCTAGAAAAATGATATTTAAGTGGACAATTTATTTTTAAAACCTAATTTCCCCCAAAATTATACTTTTTTTAATCTGTTTGGAGAAGCCGTGTTTGTCGTAGCCTTTCTGATGACGTAAAATTTAAGATATAATCAATTACGAAAATCGAGAAAGCGAATAACTGGCGAAACTAAACGTTAGATGAAGGGAACTTGTGCGAAGGTAAATTAGGAATCAATGGCAAATAACATGCGTCGCTGGC